TGACAAGGAGTTAATATCCTAAATATATAAACAGCTCATACTACTCAATATCAAAAAAACAAACAACCCAATCAACAAATGAGCAGATCTGAATAGACATTTTTCTGAAGAAGACATACAGATGGCTAATAATGACATGTAAAGATGCTCAACATCCCTGATTATTAGAAAAATGCAAATAAAAGCAACAATGAGATATCATTTCACACCTGTCAGAATGGCTATCATCAAAAAGTCTACAAATAATAAATGTTGGAGAGGACGTAGAGAAAAGGGAACCCTCCTACACTATTGATGGGAATGTAAATTGGTGCAACCATTATGGAAAACAGTATGGAGGCTCCTCAAAAGACTGAAAAAAGAGAATTAGTATATGATTCAGCAATTCCACTCCTGGGTATATATCTGGAGAAAACCATAATTCAAAAAGATACATGCACCCCAATGTTCATTGCAGCACTATTTACAATAGCCAAGACATGGAAATAACCTAAATGTCCATCAACAGAGGAGCAGACAAAGAAGATGTGGTATATATATACAATGGACTACTACTCAGACATAAAAAAGAATGAAATAATGCCCTTTGCAGCAACATGGATGGACCGAGAGATTGTCATACTGAGTGAAGTAAGTCAGACAGAGAAAGACAAACATTATATGATATTTATATGTGGAATCTTAGAAAATGGTACAAATGAATTTATTTACAGAAAAGAAATAGAGTTACAGATGTAGAAAACAAACCTATGGTTACTGGGGGGGAAGGGGGGAATAAACTGGGAAATTAGGATTGACATATACATCCTACTATATTTAAAATAGAAAAAAAGCTTAGAGAGAGATTCTTGGGGGATACAGAATTTCAGGTTTTAAAAGAAATAAAGAAGGTACTTGGTATTTTTATTTTTTTATATAAAAGCAAAAGAAGAAGAATTGTGTATAATCAAATATCTTCTTTTAAAATGCAATTTCTGGCTTTTTCTTAGAGAACACAAATTTAAAGTGAAATAATTTTTAAAGTCCAATACAAAATTAAGAAAACCCACCAAAGTTTTGTGTAAATATTCAGGCATGCATTCATTTATTAACAAATATCTGCTGTGCATCTGTTACATGCCTGGTACTGCTTTGGACTCTGAGGATGCAGAGGTGACCAAGACAGATCATGTCCTTGACCGCATAAATTTTGTAGAGCTTAATGATTTAAAATTTCTGAGAAGAACTATAAAGTCAAATAAAACCAACACCTGAACTAACTGCAAGGCAAATTCAAAAAAAATAAGAAAAGCTTTGAGAATTGACTAGACTTACCCTTAAAAGTCCAAGATAGTGACTGAGATACAAGCTTGGTCATGGCATACACATCAAAGTCAAGGAGACAGGCACAAGAATCAAATTTATGACAGGAGGACAACTGGGTTGCAAAAATGTCTTCAAACAAATATTCACCATGCTATCCAGTTAAGGTTCTGAAAACCCTGGGTAACACATTCTACCTACAGGAAAAACAAGGTTCAAATTCAAGGTTTTCTAATAGTTAATTAAAAGGAGGCAAGAGAGTAACCACAAGAGAACAGAGAGAGAGGGAGGGATTGAAATTAAGATTGAGATTCTGTCTGTCATTGGATAAAAACAAGCAGCCATCACCAAAATGTGTACAAACAGTAAATGCTGGACAAGGTGTGGAGAAAAGGGAACCCTCTTACACTGCTGGTAGGAATGTAAATTGGTACAGCCACTATGGAGAACAGTATGGAGGTTCCTTAAAAAACTAAAAATAGAACTACCATATGATCCAGCAATCCCACTCCTGGGCATATACCCAGAGAAAACCATACTTCGAAAAGATACATACACCCCAATGATCATAGCAGCGCTATTTACAATAGCCAAGACATGGAAGCAACCCAAGTGCCATGAAAAGATAAATGAATAAAGAAGATGTGGCATATATATATATAAAATATATACACACACACACATATATATACACACACACATGTACACACAATGGAATACTAATCAGCCATTAAAAAAAGAATGAAATTCCACCATTTGCAGCAACATGAATGGACCTACAGAATATTATGCTTACTGAAATAAGTCAGACAGAGAAAGACAAATACTGTATGAAGTCACTTATATCTGGAATCTAGGAAATAATACAAATGAACGTATATGCAAAACAGAAATAGACTTACAGATATAGAAAACAAACTAGTGGTTACAAAAGGGGAGAGGAAGAAGGGAGGGGCAAACTAGGGGTATAGGATTAAGAGACACAAACTACTATGTATAAAATAGATAAGCAACAAGAATATATGTATAGCACAGGGAATTCTAGCCATTATCTTGTAATAACTCTTAATGGAGTATAATCTGTAAAAATACTGAATCACCACACTATATACCTGAAACTAATATAATATGTAAATCAACTCTACTTAAATTAAAAAGAAAAACTCAGTTTCAAAATTTGTCTTTAAAATATTCCAAAAGGCATGACAGATGCTGAAAGTGTGAACTCCTTTCAAATGCAATTATGTTGAATGCGCTTGGTACCGGTTGACTTGCTCCCAAGGCCCCACATACTTTCAGTGGAAGCGCCATCCCATAGTGACTCCTAAATCTTCAGTAAAGTATTTAGACACACACACACACACATACACACTCACACACACACACACACAGACAACTATGAGTGAGTGTTTTTCTAGAACTTGATGAATAAGTTCTATATTCAATGGTTTGAATATAGAGATAGCCCTAAAGGTTAAGGACTACAGAGGACAGACACACACTAGGAGCAAGCTGTGAGAACTCACAGGTATCATGAAGACTGTCACATGCCACAGAATTAGATTTTCACCTAAGTTAACCAGATATTCAAGGAGGAGGAAGCCCCCAGATGACAGCATGGCTATTCTAATTCTGCCTCCTCCATTTCATTATCCATATAACTTCGGAGTGAGTTTTCTAAGACACAAATCTAAGCATGCCCTACCTATGATCAAGATTCTTCAATAATTTTCCATTGCCTACTGGATTAAAAAAGAAGAAGAGGGGCTTCCCTGGTGGCGCAGTGGTTGAGAATCCACCTGCCAATGCAGGGGACACAGGTTTGATCCCTGGTCCGGGAAGATCCCACATGCCGCGGAGCAACTAAGCCCGCACACCACAACTACTGAGCCTGTGCTCTAGAGTCCGTGAGCCACAACTACTGAGCCTGCACGCCGCAACTACTGAAGCCCGTGCGCCTAGAGCCCGTGCTCCGCAATGAGAAGCCACCACAACGAGAAGCCCACACACTACAACGAAGAGTAGCCCCCGCTCGCCGCAACTAGAGAAAGCCCACGCACAGCAGCAAAGACCCAACACAGCCAAAAATAAATAAATTTATAACAACAACAAAAAAAGAAGACAAAAACCTTTGCAAAGCATTTAAGGCCTTTCCCAGCTTCTTGCAAAGTGCCTGGTGAGCAGTGGGTTCTCTAAACATGGAGCATGAGCATGGTTCCCTCTTTCTATCAGGCCTCAACTCAAAAATCACAGAACTTCTCAGAAAGGTCACCCCTGGCCATCTACTAGAATGCCAGCAAGCCCTCTCCCCCCAAATTTTCATAGCCCTCTCCTATACTTATTTTCTCTCCTCAGTTCTTTCAATATCTAACATATTATGTATTTTACTTATGTAACTTATTGTCTGTAACCCTCAGTAGGCATATATAAAACATCAACTATAATCTCGAGGTAGACAGGGATTTTTGACTTTTTAATTTGTCCACTACTATCTCCATTACCTAGAACCGGGCTTGGCACACAGAAAGTGCTTCATAAAATATATGTAGGATGGATGGGTGCGTGGATCATTAAAACCTCAACCCAAAAACCAGTTCTACCTGAAGCCTCCAGGAAGATTTAGATATTCCTGCTTCTCTCTCCTTCCCTGTACGTAACTTCTCTTATCATATTGTACTTCTTTGTATGTTGAGCTGAAAACTTCATTGAAATCAAGGGCCTCACTTTCATTTGTATGTACTTAGAAGTGACTCCTTTGTGCTTGGTACATGATATGCCATTGAATAAATGAATGATTGATTATATCCTTATTTTAAAGATGAGGAAAATAAGGTTTAAAAAGGTTAAATAACTTTTAAGGGCACACACTAGTAAGTTGCAGAGGTAAGATACTAACCCAAATGTATACCAAGCCATTCCTTTAGTTTTCCTTGTCACTACTACCATATCTCCCTACAATGTTCTATCCTGTCCCACATTTTCTATTATTCATATTGTACCTATTACTAAGTCCCTGTTCAAATCAAATCCCACCTATTCAATGAAATCTTCCAGATGACTCTTATTCACAGTAATTTCTCCTTTTTTTTTTTTTACCAGAAAGTTCCTGAGATAGCTCTCAGGGTAAATGGGGGAGGTTATAAGATAGGGTTTGTGGCCTATCTTTTAACAGCTTATCCACTTGTGTTCCTCACTCCATATTCAGGCTCTTGGTGCAAAGGCCTACCTGTTTTGCAGGTAATGCACCATCCATTGGTCCCCAACCTCAGGTAACAGTCTCTCATGATCTGCATATCTCTCCTAAGGACTTATGTGGCTGGTGATGGGTGCAACTGTTTCCTTGGTTTGACTGAGCTGAGCTTCCAAGAGAAGCTGCAGAATGAAGCAACTCTGAATAATCCGCATCCCCACCCTGGGATTAGCACTCAGGATACATAAAGCTTTTCCCCTCCTCTCTCCGCCTCTGTTTCTGTTGAAAGAAAGGGTTTCAACCTTTCCCAAATGTGACTCTTCCAAGGTTGTTTCGTGAGAAGCAAAAGCTTATTTCCTATTAGCCATTTCCTCATGTTATCACATGGAAAATAGACTTTTCATTGGCCCAACTTCTCCCTTTTTAAACAGAGGCGCATATACCAACATCAGAAATAACTATTTTTGTTTTCAATGGTCCTTGAAAAGTAATGTAAAAAGATACTTACAGTTGAAAAAATATGCTTGTTACTTGTTCTCATTTTCTCATCTCAAGCTGAGACATATACACTCAGAACCTGCAAAAACCACAATAAATTCTTCTCTAATGTCTTCTGTACTTAAAATCTTCAGTACATACTCAAGCATCTTATTCAGTAATAATGTGCCACCCTAGTTTGTAACTGCACTAAACATTTAACCCTTAATTGTGTCTACATAAAATGCTGACATATCCACAATCTGAGAAGCAGTAGTGAATTAAAAGCGCAGGACTACCTGTGTTCAGATCCCACCTCCATCATTTATCAGCTGTGCAAAGTTAAGTTCCTTAACGTCTGTCTCATTTTCCTCATTTTAAAATGGTATCCTATCACTTCATAAAGTTGTTATATTTAATTTGAAAATAGTAATTAATAAATGATAGCTATATGGGAGTTTATTATGCACCGGGCACTATGTTGAGCACTTTACATCCATTTCATCTGTCAGAGAAATCTGAAGAAACTCAGAAGCTGAGCACAGGGCTTTGTACATTGTAGACAACTAAAATATACTGACGGAATGAAGCTCAAAGAAGCTAAGAAGTTCCGGGGCTATCAGGATATTGGTAGAGCTGTGAGTGGAGCCCAGGTATGCCTGACCGCAAAGCCCATGTCCCTGACCCCTGCGCTATATTCTGACAACGTCCGAGTGCCCAGGACAGGGCTGGCACAGAAAGGCCCTGATACATGGCGTTTTGTTTACCATGGGCCCTCTGACATTAGAGAGGACTAGAAGAGTGGTCTCTGAACGCAGGCTCACCAGTTTCCAGCAGGGCCTTGAGCCCACTGGTCAGGGCTATGTGGTTTTCCTAGCCGAGGACTGAGGTGAGATGGAAAATGCACCCTTCTTCACTCCTCTATTCTCTTCTTCCCACAATTGCAGGGCCGGGTGAGCGGCCCGGGGCACGCACTTCTGGAGCCCCTTTTTCCTCTGAGACTCGCAGGCTAGCCGACGCGACTGCGGCCCTGGGTTGGAGGGAGCCTGTTTCCAGTCGGACCGCGTCCGGCGGCGCTTCCGAGCTCCGCGCCTGCGCACTCAGCCCGTCGCCGCGCCGGCCCTGAGGACGTGTGCGCGCTGCCTTCGCGGCTCCTGGGCCTTGAGATGCGCGGCTCGCGGGCCCGTGCCAGCTCCAGGTGCGTGAGGAGGATTTCAAGAACCCAGGTGTGAGGTGGAGCGACCCCCCCGGGAAAGGTCGGGCCTGCCTCGGTCCCTCCAAGGTGCCCGGGGACCCAGAACGGGGGCGCCACGACCTCAGCTCCTTTGCTTTTCCCACATCCCCGCCTTCTGACTGCAGCTCATGGGGAGCGGGAATCTCTGAGAGGAATTGCAAAAACGATACTTTCCCCTGCAGTGGGTCGTATCACATGTGGCATTTTTCCCCCTCTCTGTGGCCAAAGCAGTTTTCATCCTTGCCTTTACTTTCCTGGTGTGGGATTTTGCAGTCTCTGAACTCTGGCTCGACTCCTAGGTGCTTACTGGTTGTGGGCAATTAGGGCGAGGGCCAGTTGTCAGGGTCTGTGTCCTGTGCAATCCCTCTGAGAGGAAGAGGTGAGGGTTCAAGGTCAAGAGAGGGGGCCGGGGGAAGTGGGGCAGAAGAAGCTACAGAGAGGGAAAGGCTGTGATAAATGTCGCCAGAGGTTATTCCGTAACTGAAAGTTCTCTAACTTTCTCTCAGTTCTTGTGTTTCTTGTTCATTTACTTTTGTGATATCCTCACGTCGTTTTAATGGTGTTGTTAAGACTGAAAAACCAACAGGCTTTCGGCCTTGAAGTATCGTTGGAGTTTTTTGAGATCAGTTTTCACAGTTTTATAACGGAGTGTATCTTGCTGTAGTCAGGGTAATCTGGGGGTTGACCCATTGAGATTTACCATCTTTTATTTTCACTTTAACATAGGAAAAATTACACGCTGTTGGATTTGTTTTTGAAATATGACCGACAAAAAAGGTCATTTGAGAACACAGAGAAATCAGTAGAAGTGGGATTTGGAGTTCTATCAGATTACTGTGCATATGCTTAAGTACGCGTGGGACTGCATTTGGAGCTTGGGGATCCCTTAGCTGTCACTTATAAATAGCAGATGAGATCACTGCTTGCCACCAGTGATTCTAACAATATAGGGCTTCCAGTAAGTGCTTTCCCACATGGTGTGGACGCAACTGACAATAGTATCCAGTCTTAGTGCTAGTGTTAGTTGATAAGCCATAGTCTCTTTTTGGCACAGTAACTATAGGTAGTCAATTCCTGTTATAATCAGAAATGGTTGTCATGTGTGTGGTTCTAGTGTGGGATTTTTTTCAAGTGTTCCAAAGAAACTATTAAAGGAAAGAAGCAATACACAATAGGAGCTGAGGACCCTGGCTACAGGCCAGAATCCTATGTGTGATCTTTCAGGCCCGACCATAGACAATTGCGTGGCTTTGCCTGGCTGGCCTCTTCGGGGGAAGCTGCTCTTGCCACACCAGACTTGGGCATGGCCAGTGCACTGCAGTTTTCTGGAGGGAGTTGCAGTCAAGGACTCACCCCTTCCCTCCCACTAGCCATGCTCATACTGTATTGCATTCCTGGCTCAGGTACTTCCATTCTGAGGGCCTTGGGCGAGGTACTTCCCAGGTGCCTCCACCAATACCTCCTTATTGCAAAGGGAGGGAAGGTGGAGGGGGCAGCCTTGACTGAGGTACTTTTCTCCATTTTGACCCAGGACCATTCCACTTGTAGCTCTTCCTTCCTCCTCCCCTGGCCCACAGGTCCATAAAGAGGCAGAAACCTTTTGTTCCAGCCTCCTTTGCAGAGAGATGATTGTGTGCATTGCATCCACCTAACCCTCACCTAGTGTTCCATTTAATCGACCACTGGGGAACCAGTAGTTTTTAGCCTCGTGCTTGCACTGTGGCAGTAAGTGAATAAAGACTTGATTATTACTTGCAGTTTGGCTCATTGTCCTAATTGACACCTCAACACCTGATTTTGCCTGACGGGAATTAAATAAATTGCCAAGTTCTTGGCAATTCACTTAATTTTAATCCTCGTAACTGCTGCTGTGTTAGCATTTTAGGGATTTGGAGTACATTCACCTGTAATTTCTCTAACTCAGTGTTGTGAAAGTGCATAGTAATAGCATCAACAGCTGATTGTTGCTAACGTGGATATCTGGGTTATATGGTATATTTTATACCTTAATATAGTGGCTTGCAGTCAGATTATTTGTGTGGCATATTACCTTTGGCCTCTAATTAGATTTTTCTGATAAATATTTTGGGGTTATATGGGGCAGTTGAAGAAAATTAATAATCCTTAGTAATCCTGTCTCATCCTATGGGCCCCAATCTTACTTAATAGATTACTTGCCACTTTGGATAAAGTGATTGATTTGTTGTAGGTTCCTCTGTCTAGTGTGTAAAGAGGTATGCCAGGAACAGGTTTCACAGGTTTTTACCTCCTCCTATAGAAGTTTCACGAAACAGTATTTATCCTTACCATATGTTATGCAATCTGATATTTTCTACTCTATTAAACAAAAATGCTGATCATGACCCACTAAAGTGATTGCACAATCCACTAATGGGTAGTGACATGCAGTTTGAAAACCACTATGATAAAACAACTAGAAGATAATTTGCTCAATAAATGAATTTTTTTTTTCTGTTTTTAAATCAGATTCCTGAAGAGAACCACAGTGGGTGTGTTTGTGATTTTGTGTTTAAGGTGTCTTCTAGGAGAAAATAGATAATAGCACACAGCATATATGTTGGATATTCACTAAATCATCTGACAAAAGTACACTGAGTTTCTGGTAGATTTATCAACTCTCTGATCTCAACTAGAAGATACAACATTAGAGAGCTGGCACAGCTTTTTTTAATCGCTGGCTTCCTTATTTAAGGGAAATGCAGTAGAAGACGAAGGATGAGAAGAAAATTGACTTTTCAGTTAGGAGAAGACAGGGTATAAAATGGTTGAGAAAGTTCCTGGTAAGCTTTTGCATGTGTCCTACAGAAGCATATTAGGGAAAATATCTTTATCTTTATATTAACTGAGACCAAAATGACCTTTTTATTCTACTGCCTGAAAAGTAAACTACACTCAGACTTTCAATTACTTAGCCATAGATAAGTATATAAGTAGCCAGTGTGTCAACCTCATTGCCTCTGTACTTGTCTTTTAGGACTTCTACAACAAAGTGGAAAGGAGAAATAAAAAGAAATGTTTGTTTAGTGTGTTTATCTCTTAGTTAGAAACCCTAAAAATGATATTAAGTAGATAAGGATAAAGTTTTTAAATTTGATTAGTGTTGAGCTAAATAATACCTTACATTTATACATTGCTTCAGTTTTCCAACACATTTAGGTGCATTATCTCCATTGATTCTCACAACAACTCAATGTGGTAGGCAGGCCAGGAGGCATTTTCCCTGATTTAGAGATGAGGAATCTATATTTCCTTCTTCTTGCCACCAAGTTCATATGATGGCAAATCTGGGACTAGAATCCAGGTTTTCTGGGACATTTTCTCCCAGTTGTTTATGTTATCTTTGTTGGTCCAAAGAAGTAACTGAGAGTAAATATTGCTAATGATGTGGCTAAGAATTTTGATAACTAAAACATTCCATTCTCAGATCATGTCCAAGGTATGCTATAATTGAATGCAGATATGTCTTAATTTTAGTATTATATTTTATTTCTTACACTCTTTATCTTTCTAGCCCAATTTTTGAAAAATGACAAATCTACTTAATAGTGGACTAGGAAAATTGGAATTAAAAGATTTAATGTTAAGAAATTCAACTCAGTCCCCTTTTAATGTATCATCTCAATTAATTAGAAATATTGCTTAAAATTATATACATTTTTAAGTATTTCTTTTAAAGACTTCTCATTTCTCTGTATGAGTGAAATTAGTTTAATGATTCTAAAGTATCTAAGCGGGCCTCTCACTGTTGTGGCCTCTCCCATTGCGGAGCACAGGCTCCGGACGTGCAGGCTCAGCGGCCATGGCTCATGGGCCCAGCCACTCCGTGGCATGTGGGATCCTCCTGGACCGGGGCACGAACCCGTGTCCCCTGCATTGGCAGGCGGACTGTCAACCACTGCGCCACCAGGGAAGCCCTAACTTACTTTTAGACACAGGAAGAGTTGAGGTTCCCTATTGCCTTTAATACCTTTAGCCAAAGAACAGGTTAAATTATTTCTTTTCATATGAATAAGTAATTTTTAATTAATACATTTTTATTTTTAATTTTTAGACATCTGTGGAGTGTAAGAACACTATGGAGCTCATCAGAGTATATCACTGAAGAATATGATGGCTGAAACCAATTTTAAAATGCTAAAGATTCAACAGTGTGTAGTAGCCAACAAACTACCTAGAAACAGGCCATATATTTGCAATATTTGCTTCAAGCATTTTGAAACACCCTCAAAATTAGCGAGGCATTATCTCATTCATACTGGTCAAAAGCCATTTGAATGTGATGTGTGTCATAAAACCTTTAGACAACTAGTTCATCTGGAACGACATCAACTAACTCATAATCTGCCTTTTAAATGTAGTATTTGTCCACGCCACTTTAAGAATCTGAAGACATTCGTGAAGCACCAACAGCTTCACAATGAGACTTACCAGAATGATGTTAAACAGGTCAGAAGACTGCTGGAGGCCAAGCAAGAAAAGCCAGTGTATGGAATGTATCATGCTCTTACCACAGAGGAGAGATGGGCATTACACCCGTGCTCCAAGTCTGATCCTACACACAGCCCTACAAAGAAAAAAAAGAACATTCACGCGTGTACAATCTGTGGCAAGCTGTTCCCCTCACAGTCAAAACTTGATAGGCACGCACTTATTCATACTGGTCAGAGGCCTTTTAAATGTGTCCTGTGCAGTAAATCTTTTCGACAGTCAACTCACTTAAAAATCCACCAACTCACACATTCAGAGGAAAGACCTTTTCAATGTTGTTTTTGTCAAAAAGGATTT